AGTCATTGGAAATTTACATGATTATTAATTTTAAAATTTATAAAATTAATTAAAATTATCACAAGTTAAATTATATATATTCACCTTAGTTAATATATATATATTAAAAAAATAAATATTTTTTACGAAAGCTCTTTACAAGTTACAACTTATTCATTACATCAAGTGCGATTCCCACTTGTCCAATCTTTTTTTTTTATTTACGTGGGGTGTCCGGGCCAGCTTGCACGCACCACGACTAATCCTCACGACCCACTGAATACCCTGCAAACCCAGTAGGCATGTAAGGCACCGCGGGGGTAACAGACATGCATGTCAGGGCTCGAATCCAGGTGCAGTGGAAAGAGATAAGCCCCTTCCACCACTAGGCCAAGCACTGGAATGCCCACTTGCCCAACCTTTTTTTTTTAGATTAACGTGGGTGTCCGGGTCAGCTTGCACGCACCACGACTAATCCCACAGACCCTAAAGTTAACGACCATGTAAGCCTCCAGTGGCCATCATATGAGCAATCAAGAACTCGAACCTGAGACCACAGAGAACAAACATCTTGATTCCAAATTCTTACCACTTGTCCACTCTTATTTAGCGTTGTGCTTGCATTGGCAAAATCCGACAAAGTTGTCACTGCCGAGAGAAAATCACAGTTAATGCACACAGCCTCTTGTCTGCCCAGAGCATCTGATCAAGGCACTTGTAGGATTGGTATTACCTTGCTATAAACTAATGCTTCCCACGGCATCAGCAAATCAAGGCACCCTTAGAATTGCTAAAGTCACAAAGGGTATTTATTGATTTTAGCATCAACCATCTATAAATGTCATAACTCCATGAGATTTCATTTGGATGATAATTGGAATTGTTACAGATTGTTTTTAAACACGCAGTCCGTACCATAACTTAATTCTAGCTGATATGGATACGTTATAGAGTTGATATGGTATTAAATTAATTTAATTTTTGTAAGGAATATGTGTGGTTAATTTATTTTTTATATTATTTCTCCTTTTCTTTTTCTTTTTTCGTTTTTTTTTATAAGATTCCATGGCATATGCCAATATCTCAAGGCATGATATTCAAGCTCGTAACCGGGGAATTAACTTGAAGTGGGCTTAAAATAAAAACAATTGAATACATGATTTAGTGAGTTAATATTGAATTTGATTAAAGAAAACAGCTAAACACCCATTATTCATTAATTATATACTCCTAATATTTCCAAAAATACGCAAATCTCTGGTGTTAATGTGCTTGTACAGCGAAGAAACACCCAACTTGCAATTCCATTGTAATTAATTAGAAGCCAGAACTTGCCCCTGGCTTCCGATATCATCCAGTTATTAATACAAGGACAAGAATCATGAATACACTCTTTGAAAATTATCTGCATTAATGTCTCAGAGGATCTAAGCTCACTTGTAACTCAATGTAGTTTGCTCGAGATCACGTAGGCGTTTGTTCTAAAAAAACCATATTGACTTTGTTAAAGTTTTAAGTATAGTTGTCAGAATTGATTAATTTAGCGTTTGACTCCAAAAATATTTCGAATCACTAAATTATTGAGTTAATTTATTGATTATCAGATAAATCTAACCATTAATTTTTTTATTATAATGATGTTATTTATTTTTTCTTTTTTAAAAAACTCTTTAACAATTACTTAAATAAATTTAGATTGGATTTAACTAATTCTTATCGAGATTTAATTTGATTAAAATCATTTTTAATTCAAATTAAAATACAATTAAGAAGATCGAGCTCTCAATTTTTTGGTTTTTGAAGCAAATATATTGAATTGAATTGAATTGGGTTGAGTTTAATTACTATTTTTCTAAGTGCTTAAGCTTTATTAATTATATTTTATGTGAAAGAAGCAATGATATTCTAATCTACACGCCATTTTTTTCTAATTGGAAGTTAATGGTTAGAGTTTTACAATTGCATGGAAAGTGTTATGAATGCTAAAATAAATATAAAAGAAATTCGATCTCAAATAAAATTTTGAGAAAGAAGGAAAATTATTGTTAAATTTAAGAGGGAAAGGAGTGGTTCTTTAATTATATATAAGCAAATTCAACGTTAGCTGCACAGATTTAAGAAAGCTTGTAGGGCCCTAAGGAGTTGGGTGTGCCACAAGGACGTGAGGTTAAGTGCCCTTAGACAGGGTTTAATAGCCAAGAAAATGTCATTAATGCTGTCGGTAAGTTTGTCTTTGACTAGAAAAAATTACAATTTTTCTAGAGGCGTGCACTGTTTGGTGAAATGGAAAAATTATTCCACACATCCATTACATTACCTTATATTATATCATAACATGCCATATCGTGAAAGATCGTACATTTTTTTTTAGTATATGGTAGAAAGAACATTATAATACTGAAGATTTTCTTGAATAATATATGCAAGCTAAGATGCACTTGATTGATAGTAATTATCATAAGAAATTACTAATTACTTAATTGTTTATTAGACAATCAAAATAAAATGTCTTTGATATTGTAATAACTTCTATGATTATAGTTTCAAAAAATAAATTTTAAAAAATATATAAATTATAGTTTTTTTATATAGTTTTTAGTGGAATCCATATAAAACTATAATGTATGTTGATTAATTAAACATTTACAAATTTATGAGTAGGGCAAAACACAACCAATACTACATAGTGAAAAAAACAAATAGAGTGGAAAGAGAAATGTGTGTTTTAGTATTATGGTAACTTTTACTGTTGTGATTTATAAAAATAAATTTAAAAACCCTATAAATTATAGCTTCTTTTTTTTAATAAAAGTTCTAAAATAGAATTTTCAGTAAGATCTATATAAAATTATATATATTAATTAACTAAATATTTTTGAAGTTGCTATCAGAACAAAACACAAACGGCTTTACATCCAAATAAACAAAACACATACCGACTGGGAAGAGAAATGTTGTAATAAGAAACACATACGCTTCGAAAGTAGGATCATCAAGGCTGCCCGATGAGGACCAAGAAGTAAACCAAATGGAGATAGTAACCCTCCACACAACCTCTACACAACCTTGCTTCATCATTAAACGTTTCAAACATCAAATTCAAGAGCTGCCTGCTCTGGTGGGTTCATTGGTTTTTATTCATAAATGGCAAATGGCTGGTCCATTCGGCTGTATTGTCCAGCAACTGGCCTGTCTGATTTAGTTCTGGGATCTTCTTGTGGACTGCCGAAATGGCTGGTCCATTGTCAAACATATGCAATGTCAATGATTTTCTTTCATATCCCTGCATTAGATTTGAACCTAAGCATCCATGGCAAGAAAAGAAGGAAGCTTTAGCTGAGTCAGTCACAGAACACAGCCCCAGGACCAGACCACGATGATGACGGAGGTCCGGTTGAGAGCCAGCCCAAATACATATAAAATGACTGCTTTTAGAACACTCCAGGCATCTGATGATGGGCTGGGCTCATCAATGCTATGCAGCTCGCTGCAAAACCTGGACCCGGCCGGCCTGCTAGGTCTATCCATGACCTGGTTGATGCAGGATTTTCCCCGGTTTTTATCAAAGAAATAATAATAAATAAAAAGATGTGAATAACCCCTCACTTTCCAAGATCAGTGCAACAAAAGTATAGGTGAATTTAGTTCAAAACCCTCACTTTCCATCTTTCTAGACCAACTCGATTGCCTCATGAAAACCACATCCCACGAACCTAGATATCATTGTATTCCGCCAAACCAATTCTCTCTTGGTCATTTTATCAAATTGTTGATTAACTTCTTAAAGTAACCCACGCTTACAATAAAAATCAACAACAGTAATCCATACTTAGAGAAGAGAAAAAAGATCACTTTCTTAATGCAAATTGGGTTTTGGGTTTTGGATAGGTGCCTTCCTTTCTTTGATTGATTGCTTGTGTTCTTGTTTAGCCTCCTCCACTCTTTTCCTTTTTTCGCTCTTCGTTTTCCAATGCTTCACCTCCCCATCAACAGAGTGCTATAGTGCTTGCTATATGTAGCGAGAGCACAGTTCACAAAGTTAAAATAGAGAATCATTCAAGGAGCCAGAATGTCACGGATGAAAAGGTCAAAGTGCTAGTTATTCGCTCCGGTAAAGAATATGAACGTGGATGAACCGGCAAGCACTGTTCAACTCACTAGATTGGTGCGGGGAAAGAGAGCAGTGGACATGAGGAAAGGAAGGATTAGGGTGGAGTTGTTCTTCATCTCTAGCCATTATCTCTATGCTCCGCTCTTTCTCCTTCAATCACTAACGAGATGGCATTTTTACCATTTTTGCTTCACGATTTGTAAATCGCACCCATTCTGGTATTTATTTAATGGAGGGTTGCTAAAGTAATATTCTTAGGACGTTTTCTTTTTAGGAGACCAAGGCGTTACATCGACATTTGTGGTCGTGTATCAGGTCTGAAACCAGAGTCCTTTTTCAAAAAATGAAATTATTCTCTTTATTTTAAATTTATTTTTTTATCAAATCATTTTAATATACTAACATCAAAAATATATTTTTTAAAAAAACTTCATTTTAATATTTAAACAAAAAAAAAACACTTTGAAAAACAAACCAACACCCCTTTCCCATAAACCATTGATACTAGTCAATTTGTTGTTGAACCATTGTTATTTTTGTTTTCTTGGGGAATAGGATGCTTGTGCCTACAAAACTATTAATTGACTTCTGTTCTGAAACGAACGATTAAGACCCTCACTAACTTCTTGTTGCAAATAATTTGAAATCAGAATCGCAATTAGAATATCATTTATCAAAACTTGTGCAGAGAGTGAGTTAAGAAGTATATTTATCAAAAATCGACTCGACACATTTTTCTGATTTAGTGTGGTCAAGATTAATGTATTAAATTAAATTTAACTTTTGATTAAAAAAAATTTGACTCAACAACATTTGATTAAAAATCAAAGGTAATTTCCAGGTGAGTAAATGACTTGACCATGAGTCATAATAATTTAACAAAAAACTAAATTGAACAGAAAACACTTGCTTTTCTAGAAAATACACGTGAAGAAAGGAATTGCTCATACAAATAGGAGAACCCAATAAGATTTAGAAGTTACATGGTGACATACTGAATTAGAGACATTTCATCGAGGGTCAAATTAATCCATACAACAATGGAAACATACCTGCATGGGCCAGTTTCACCCATTTAGATTGACCAACAAACATCGATAAATAGAACTTTAGGAGAAAGAAATGAAGAAAAAGGGCCCTCCATTTCACACACCACAGGTCATTTAGCCCTTAGCCCATTGCATACTTCTGGGTCCAGCTTCGTGCAGTCGTCTCATACTTGTTCCTGTCGGTCTTGTACATGTGAGCAATCTCGGGCACCAATGGATCGTCGGGGTTAGGGTCCGTCAACAAAGAGCAGATGGAGAGCAATACCTACAAATGGAAACAGAGCTCGTTTACTTGATCACCAATGATAACTAGCAATTCAAAAGTCAGCCTGCACTACGACATCGAATTAAAAATAGCCCATTTAAAAGGGAGAAAAGAGAGCTGCAGGTGGCTGATGAATAAACAATATTTTATCAACTGATAACGAAGCCCAATATCAGTAAGAATAGCGGCAGCCCACCTTTCCTGTTGGAAAGGAAAAAGGGCGCCAGGGCCCTTTAAAATGACGAACCCCGCAGATGATAGACCAGGGCAAGGGCGGCACAGTTTTAGAGTCCTAAATATCTTTTCTGCAGAAAGCTCTCAGAAATCAGGGGAAAGAAAAGGAGGGCTGCTAAGATCTAAATTAGCTCTATATGTTGCAATGAACAATTCGGTTCATCAACACATCAAGAATGGTTATAAGAAAATGAACCACTTAGTCCCTTCCCAACACAGACAAGATGTCGGACTGTCACAAATCCATTAAAGTAATCAACAGCATTTTTTTTCTCAACTCCAAGATAAATGATTTAATGATTATACAATAAGAACCTTGGATATGGTTAGAGCCGGACTCCATTGCTCCTTCAAAATGTCCAGGCAAATGCTTCCATTGCTATTTATATTTGGGTGGAATACCTTTGTTCGGAATGCTACCTGCAAGATACATACACATAATGAAATCACATGCACAAAAAGAGAACTGCTTTTGAGATTGAATTCTCGACCAAATGTGCAGGAGTGCCATAAATAGTACATGATGAGATGCAGAAGCAATACACCAAGAATACAATGAGGCATTCACAAAAAGAAAGCAGCTAAAACTTCTCGGCAAATACCAATGAATGAAATGTCATAGATTACCGTGGTTAATTCACCAAACAAACAAATTGACTAGTAAATTCTTATATTGTGCATGACAAGAGGGCAAGCAGAAGCAGAACCATTCAATCAGGGCAGTTTATATATTCAGCCTTTCATGCAATACCATTTATTTCATCTTTAGCTGATTTGAGCTTTAGCAACATACCCTCATTAATGCTGTAATTTCTTCTTGTGCAATTAAGAAATAAAGCATATTCTTATTCTAAAATCCTTACCAAAAGTTGATGTTTGATACACAAGCCTTAGATGCAAGAGCTGCATCATTTAACATATCTTCACATCTTAGCTCATATTGTATCAGGACCTGGCATAGCATTGAATCCTATCAAACAGCCTCATGCTTATATTGTGAAATCAGGTTTGCATGCTTATACTTTATACTTCATACAGCCCCCTATATTTCTTCCAATTCTGCTGATTTGGAAACAGCATAAGACTAATAAAAGCTCGACCTATTGCACATATTCACAGATGAGACACCTTCATGTTGAGATAAATCAACTTCTGATGAGAATAAATTCAACATCCATACTAATCTCCCTTCATTCTTGTTGTGAATTGGGCAAGAGGTGAGGGGAAAAAAGAATGGGAGGAAACATGAAGATGCTCCATGACATCATGGCGCCTTTTTCTTTGTTACAAATGAGAGGCTCAAACCTAAGGCCTCTGCCAGAAGGAGGCCTTGGTGACAGTGGAACTACAAGCATGATTCATTGACAATAAGAATTAAGAAAAGGGTATGGAAAATGCAAGTTTACAAGCGCCAGAAGTTTCATGTATATTAAATATGCACCCACTTTATTCTGTTGTCAAGTAAAGAACTTATTCCCTCATCAGGGCATATACATAAAGATTCCTCCTTTAGGTTAACTAGTGTATGTACATGCTCTGTGTTAGCAAAAGTCATATGACCTGGGAAAATCTGCAAAATCAGCTTGCAACTCGCATCGCAATACTTACACAGACAATATAGGTAATGATATACAATTACAGAGCATTCAAGAGAAATACATATAGATAGAATTTTTAAAACATCTGTTTGATACTTCTTGCTTCACCCAAACCTGAATATTATTAGCACTCGACAAAACTTTCAAATAATTCAGAACAATAAAAGTTAAGCTTGTATAGAGTAAAAACTTACCTTGGGAGGCTTAAATGGATAATCTGGAGGAAAATGAATAGTAACTAGGAAAACACCGCCAGCATAAGGACTATCGGGAGGACCCATAATTGTTGCTTGCCAATGGAACATGTCTTCAGCAACGGGACCTGCAACATTCCCATAATTAAAGCAAGCACATCAAGTAAACAACATTAAATAAAATAATCATGAAAAAAATAACTTTTAATTCAGCATACATACCCCCTACCATTATTAAGAATAGCCAGGATAACAATAATTTCTTAAAAAAAAATAACCTAAAATAATACACACTGTGGTCAGACTATACAAGTTTTTGAACTATAATTTTTTAAAATTAACAAAAAAATTCAATATTGTTTTACGCTTTCCCTTAAAAATATCGAATTTTCATTTTTACAAAGAAAATTATCGATCAGAGTTAATCATCGCCAGTATTATTCAACTGCATGCATCCTTAGATTATCAACGAAATCATTATCAATTCCAACCAAAACAACGAAAAAGATTATACCGGCACAGATCAACCGAAACACTAAAAAAACTATTAAGAAATGAAGTCAAACAAAACGGAAAAAAAAATTAAAAACAAAAAAAGTCATAATACCGGCACTGCATGAAGTAGGAGGATCCTTCTGTAAATCTTTCAATTCCTTCAAGATCCGTTTCGATGCCATCTTATCTTCTACTTTACCTGCCAAAAAAAAAAAAGCATCAACATCGACATCGACAACTCCCTTTCTCTCTCCAGATCAATCCTCTCATACCAGAACACAATTCGAGAGAGACGTACCGGATCTCTCCTCTCCTTCTGGAAATTAACGGCTTCAATTTTTTACGAGATTTGTTTGATGAGATAGAGAGAGGGGAATGGAGGGTGGGGAGAAGAAAAAAGAGCAAAGTAAGAGTGAAATTAGGGAATCTGCAAGGTGAGGACTTTATGTTATTATTATAAATTGGTGGACCGTCTTTTTTTAAAAAAAATTAATTAACAATAAGGTGTCGACATTTGTGATTGGATGGTTCTGTTTCTTTTCCATTTTGTAAATGGGTGAGGGGCGGTATTAGTTTTTTTTTAATATTTTTATTTTTTAAAATTTATTTTTAATATTACATTATTAAAATGATTTAAAAATAATTTTAAATATAAATTTTAATTTTAAAAAAAATATGGCAACTCTAATAACAAGCAAGACTTTACTGATTTGTTTGGAATTATAATAGAAAGATAGTTTTTAAAATAAATTTTAGTTTGAAAATATATTAAAATAAAACAATATTTTTATATACACATTGATACTAAAAAAACTATAAAATTAATATTTTTTAAAATTAAAAGTATTTTAAAGAAACATTTAAAAGAAAAATAGAAGCAAACACTCATTCTACGCTTCGCGTTTTTTGTCCGTTACCTTACAAGCCTTTTTTTCGCCGAAAGTAATATATAATATAATCTTTGCTTTTTCTTCTTTTTTGGATGGCTGTCTACGTCGGTGCTCTAAATTCTAAGAATGTTTTATATCAGTCATCAAAGAAATATTTCTTACTAATTAACCCCAATTCATCGCTAATTAAATTGATGATTAGTTTTTAATTACATTTGGTTTTACAGCAATCCAAAGTTTTAAGAAAGAAACAATAAAAAACTTTGGATGAGCTAGTCTTTCATCAAAGTTTTCTTATACTGAAAATATTTAGAAGACTATGATAATAACTAATAACTATGATTATTTGATAAAATAAACTATAAAATGGCACGAATCTACAGTTTGAGAACTTATTTGAAAACTATATGATACTTAAAGGACCAAATCGTATTCTCTGGATGAAGTTGAATATTCTTGCCCGTGCCGTGTCGTTAGCTTTGGTCTTTGGCGAGGGCGGCTTCAACGGAGCACGCACTAGACGCCTAGCTGGACCAGCTCTTTCGCGGCTGGCTCGACTCAGGTTATCAACTCATCAACTCGTTAATGAGTTGATGACTGGTTGACAGTCATATGACATCATCTGGCATTTATTTCCTTAAAAAACAACGAAGGGTAATGAGTTTGTTATCATTTTATGTTTGGAAAGTGCTTTTTTTTTTTAACAAATGAAAATTGAATTGCTCAATTTCCTCATGAATAAAAATAAATAGATAGATAGATTTTCAATTAATATGTGATCCATAAATAAAACACCTTTTTTATTAGAATATTTGTTTTTATGTGAAATATTATAAAATAACATATTTAATTTTATTTCTCAATGATTTTTGTAAAATTATTTTTTAAATAATTTTAAAAATAAAAAAATAAAATGACCTCTTCAATGTGGAATAAATAATTTATCAAGCTATAAGTTGATTTAAATAAAACTAGTCAAATTTTAAAGATTATCGTCTTATGTAACAATGATGCTTACTATAAAGTAAATTTAAATTAAATTTTAAATATTTTATATTTTATTTTTATTTTTATATTTTTACATGGTTAAGAATTAATTTTCAAAAAAATTTAGATAAATGGGTCAACTCAAAAATTATATAGTTAACTTGGATTATTTGTTTTCATTAAAATAATATTATTTAAAAAAATAAAAAAAATATTCTAATCAAGTTTAGACTATTTAAAACTTAACTGGTTAATTGAGCTCATAGAGTTAATATTTTATACATTTTAATTGAAAACTTGATTAAGATTATATTTTGATTTTTAATTTTTTTAAGAGAATTCGAAAAAAGTTCAATACCTATAAATAGAAATGGTATTATTATATATATTTAAAAATTTTATTTTAAACAATGATGTAATATTAAGAATTGTTAATAAGAAAAGTATTTTCCGTTGATTGGAAAGTGTTTTTTGTTGACCGGAAAGTGTTTTCCGTTGACCAGCTTTCTTAATGACAAACAAACACAGGAAAGTTTGGAAAGTAGTTTCCCGGAAACTGTTTTCCAAGAAACAAACATGACCTTAGACTATTTAAAACTTCACTAATTAATTCTAAGTTATTTATTTTTATTAAAATATTATTATTTAAAAAAAATAAAAATAATAGTATTCTAATCAAGTTTAGACTATTTAAAACTTCAATTTCATAGAGTTAATATTTCATACATTTTAATTGAAAATTTGATCGAGATTATATTTTGATTTTTATTTTTTTTAAGTGAGGGGAAAAAGTTTAATAACTATAAATAGAAATGCTATTATTATATATATATATAAATTTTATTTTAAACAATGATGTAATATTCAATGATTTTTGTAAAATTATTTTTTAAATAATTTTAAAAATAAAAAAATAAAATGACCTCTTCAATGTGGAATAAATAATTTATCAAGCTATAAGTTGATTTAAATAAAACTAGTCAAATTTTAAAGATTATCGTCTTATGTAACAATGATGCTTACTATAAAGTAAATTTAAATTAAATTTTAAATATTTTATATTTTATTTTTATTTTTATATTTTTACATGGTTAAGAATTAATTTTCAAAAAAATTTAGATAAATGGGTCAACTCAAAAATTATATAGTTAACTTGGATTATTTGTTTTCATTAAAATAATATTATTTAAAAAAATAAAAAAAATATTCTAATCAAGTTTAGACTATTTAAAACTTAACTGGTTAATTGAGCTCATAGAGTTAATATTTTATACATTTTAATTGAAAACTTGATTAAGATTATATTTTGATTTTTAATTTTTTTAAGAGAATTCGAAAAAAGTTCAATACCTATAAATAGAAATGGTATTATTATATATATTTAAAAATTTTATTTTAAACAATGATGTAATATTAAGAATTGTTAATGCATTATAATCATAACCATTATTTATATCCTCTATGAAATCGTTTTTATTGCTGCATCCGCGACTCTAAACTATTTTATTTTAAAAAAAAAATAGTTAAAATGTAAAAGGCCTTTTATTTATTTATTCTCTCTTATTTATTATTATTAAGAAGACCTAATAAAATTCCCAACCCAACCAGTACGTGACATTGGCTAGCGTGAAATTAAGGCCAAAAGCACATGCCGCCCACCAATCAACCCGGACCAACTTAGCCGCCACCGTCACTCACCATCCCCAAAAACTTACCGATCACAACATGAACCGATACAACCGGCGAGTCCAAGTCCCCGATTTACAGCTCCCCAAATACGACAACGTAGAAGAACGTGTCGATCGAGAAGAAGGAGACGATAGTAATAACAACGGAGTACCGCGATTAATAACAACAGAGAACAGTGTGAGTGACGATCAAGAACCGTTCATGGGTGTTAAAGTTCGAAGAAAAGCATCTCGTCATAGAGATATTAAAGGGGATTATCTTGATGTTGCTTCTCATTCTTATTTGATGAAGATTTTGCAGAAGCAAGGTGAGTCAGCCTTTTTCAAATTCTCTTAATTTTTCCGGGCATTTTTTTTTGTTTTTTATTGATAATTGATTTCTGGGTATTGATTATCTTTTGTTATTAGTTTGTTTAATGTGGTTTTAGAGGTCTTGCTTTGTAAATGGCATGTGGGTTTGTGATTAATTTATGTATTTTTTAATTTTTTAATTTATTTTTTTATTTGAATTTGCTTTGGTTTTTCTGCTTCTTAATTTATTTTTTTAATTTGAATTTGCTTTGGTTTTTCTGCTTCTCTTGCTGATTCTGTATGGCTAGAGAACGCAAAATATGTATAGTTTTGAAATTAACCATGTTGAATATTATTGTTTGGTTTCTACACTAGGAATTGGTGCTTGAGAAATAATTCAATTGAAATTATTGCTGAATTTCTACACCAGGCCGTGGTTTTGTTTTAGAAAGAAGAAGAAGAAGAAGAAGAAGCTGGCAAGTAGGCTGTAAGTGTCAAAATAGTGACAAATTGTGTTGAAACAGGATTGTCTTGTTAACTTTGAAAGAATGTTATCCGAATGTTGGAAATTCTTAGATTGAAGAACGGTCTTAACTTTTTCATTGTTAAAATTATTCCCTGCAGCATATAACTTGAAAACATGCAAGTTTTGGGGTTTATTGAAACTCTCCTTTTCCAAGAGATTTTTTTATAAACATTTTTTCATGGAAATCTTTATACTTCATTGTGTATTTTTATAATAGAAAAAATTAGAAAAATAGTCGTAGTTGTGGTGTGCATTTGTGTTTTGCTTTATGTTAGAATATACCATTGGTTAGAGACAGTACCAAAATACAATTCATTTATGTTTGAATAGGGCGGGGAGGAATAGGCAGCTAAGGCGGCTGCTTCTGATCAGTCTACTGACCTGAAACAGGCATGGTGTTAGCATTTCTGATGAACTTAAGTCCTTCAACCCCCTGAAACCAACACAAAGTAGTTCACATTGATTCCGGAATAAAAGGAACATGCTCATGATTTGACAACACATTGATTGAATAAAAGGAACATGCTCATGATTTGACATGGAGAAATGTCCTTTAACCCTCCCTCCATGTAGCACCTCCTGGCCCACTTAGACTAAATATGGGAGAATTTCATTCATGATCTGAGACGTGAATGGTGGCTTACTTAGATCATCTTAGAGTTCAGGGAAGAGTTAGCTTGTTAATTTGATATAAGTTTAAATACTCTTCCTTGCTTAATATATCTTTAAACTTGCTTCTTTTTTATTTTTGCAGGTGATAAGCAGGTCCTCTTTGCCGATAAAGTTTTGAAATTCACAGGTTCAGGGAAGATGAAACAACGCATATTGTTAATAACTGACTTTGCCATTTACATTATTGACCCCGAGATTAATGCTCTTAAACGACGGATAGCTCTGGCAGCTGTAGAAAAGATATGTTTGAGTGAATTGAGTGATAATTTCTTTGCAATTATTATTCCAACAGAGTATGATCTTCTTATGGCCAGTACTCGAAAGACTGAAATAGTTACTGTGTTAGTTGAAGCTACCAAGAGCGCTTCTGACTATGAACTTGAGGTGGCCTTTTCCAATAGGTAAAATGATTGAACTGATATCTTTCACTGTTCTTGCATTGGTATTCAATGTTTTTCTTTTCCTTTGCTTTCTTGGATGATCCTAAATAGGTACTTTATTGAAGGATAGTTATTTTATGCATACGCTATTGATTTCTGAAGCAAGGTATCCTGACTTAGTTTAGAGGAAGAGAACAACTAATAATACTGTGGATGATAGTGCTTTGATCTTATTGTGTACGCAAGTCATAAAATAACTGCAAAGATGGTATTGCTTAAAGACCAGTATTAGGAAGGCTACCAATCAGTTCTTTTCCCATTCCTTGCAAACTGAGTCACTTTTGAAATTTGTTTTTACCTTTGCAGCTTTGAGTACAACGCGGATGCTGAATTGGTAAAAGTTATTGAGTTTGAGGAAGTCGAAGGTCCGAGTTTCCATAATCTCAAAACTGTTTGTGATTTTATAAGATGACTGCTCCATCTATTACACCTGCCATATAGTTATACCACTATAACAGTGTAATCTGGTTAAATCAGTTGCCTGTGCTCATGAAGCCTTCTGTTCACATCTCTTTATATGCATGTTTCAGGTGGTGTAAAAACCAGAATCACAAGGAAGTGAGTAGCAGTCCACGAATGTTTTTATATGTTTATAGACCATGCAGGAGATTCGCTCTGTTCATTGTAAAGTGGGAAGGTTACTGGCCCATTGCGTTGAGAGGATCCTCACAGCATCAGGGTTGCTATTTTTTTTTATGTTGATTTTTTCTGTGTAATCTCTATAGTAAATGAACGATAATTTTTTCCTTGTGAAAGTTGTTTCGTTTGTATGAAATGAGATTATTTTGGATGTTCAAAAGCAATATAATTTGCGATATACATTGGTACTCCAAACACTGAATTCTGTTCACCAAGTGTCGGTGTCATATAACATTTAATCCCCGTTCATCTTGTATTATGAGTTCCCAATTTTAGAACAGAAGTTTGAGATGATCTTTTGAACTTGTCAGCTACTTCAATCCCAGTTTCCCTTGAAAATTGAATGCCATCAGGCGGATCTTGGTTGTGCATGGATAGAGTCAGTTCTAACGCATCTTCAGAAACGCTTATGCCGAGAAGGCAGGCTGTTGCAGCCGGCCACGTTAAGGCGGTGATTGCTCAGCTGAGTGCATGAACATGCCCTAAGAGCCATGTCATGGACTCGATTACTGAATCCCCCTCGAATGGATCAACCAGTCAATCATCAATAACTAGTTTCTTTAAAGGAAACTTGTCTTGTATTCTTCTTATATTAATCTGCCTAGGACCGAAGATTAAGAGAGTAAATGCACCTGGTCATGATTCTTGAAAGCACCTAGCTAGGTCCATCCAAATGTATTTAAAGGGACAGTTAATATGGCTCGATGCCATTGATTAGGTAGGTTTTGGCACGTTAGGCACCAGAGCCGCAAGTCATTGATCCTGGACCCATCCATTTCTCAAACACACCCTCAAAATACAGAGAGAGATCGAGTTGCATTATGCTGCAAAAATTACAGACTCGTAGGCAAAACATCGAAGTCCTGACTAAATAATACAACAGAAGAGAACCCAACTTGTCTTCGCCTACAGTTGGAGGCTTGAAGTGGGTAGTTAAACTAACTTCATGACAAAATTTCTCACAGAAATATAAAGATATACAGCAAATAAACTCAATTAACCCAAACCAACTGCCCAATTCAAAAATTTGAAGACAAATTGTATTACAACAACTAATAGCAGGAAGAAACAATCTCACTGTTGAACAGAAGAGGTAGAACCTACTTCAGCTGCTTGTGGTGATGGGGTTGCAACTGAAATTTCTAGTTTACTGTCAGAGGATGGTGGGTTTTCGGTACTTACTTGCCGAATTTCCTCAACCATTTTCACCACATCAGGCATTTTGGGTCTCTGCTCTGGCATCCTCACTACACAAGATAGTCCTATCTGTAGCATCTCCACCATTTCCTCCTCAATATTAGGATACCTTAAGAGCTCTAAATCAAATACTTCAGCAGTCCACTCTTCTCTTACCACAGAATTCACCCACCTCACCAAGTGAACAACCTCATCACCACCCGTGGTATGCATGGGGGATTTTCCAGTGAGAAGCTCAAGCAGCAAAACCCCATAACTATAGACATCAGATGCATGGGTTGCTTTCCTGGTGTCTGTTACTTCTGGGGCACGATAGCCTGCAGCCCTCATTACTGGTGGGGGCATTGGGCTCATCAATGATGCCAAACCGATATCTGATACGCAGCCATATCCTTGGGAATTGAGGAAAATGTTTGATGATTTTATGTTTCCATGGACAAGTTTGCCAGCATTCTGTGTGTGGATATGAGCAATGCCCCTTGCTGCACCAATTGCAATTTTCAGCCTTGTTTCCCAGTCCACAGGATTATGGCCCTCCCCTCTCTTAACTGCAAAGTATAAGATTCATTTTCTATGGTCAGCAACATCTCTGAAAGCTGCATAACAGAATGTATCACTGAAAAGGTTTTTGACATACCATGTAGCATTGCAGACACACTGCCCTCTTCATAGAAGTCATAGACCATTAGTTTCTCATCCTTGGAATAGTAATACGCCCTTAATGGAGACACATTTACATGCCTAATACTCCCAACAGCAATCATTTGCTGCTCAAACTCCTTTTTTGGCACAGCCACTTCCTTCAACCTCTTCACCACCACTGTGGTTGCCTCCTCGAGTGCGGCCTTATAAGCTATCCCAAACGTTCCCCTACCAAGAACCTCTGCAGATGCTCTCAACAAGTCCTCCAAGTAAAATGCAAGACTAAAATGCTCGAAAAAGAATAGCCTGTTGTTCTGCTCTTGGCTCTTTGAAGCTGTTTTCTTCAAAGACACCTCTTTGTTCTTTGTTGCTAACCCACCTTCCCTTTGTTTCTTAGAGTGGCAAACAACAATCATAAAAGCAAGAACCACAAACCCCAGTACACAGCCACCAATAGCTATCGCCAATATTGCAGGTTCACTTAATTTTGAGGATTTTTTTGATGGTTGGGAACTTGGTGGATGAACTGGAAGAGCAGGAGGAAGGGCATTTTCTGATGAAAGATTGTTACCAGAAAATGCAGAACTTGGAAATCTTTCAAGAGACTTAGGCAAACTTCCTGTAAAATTATTGTTGGTTAAATCTAGATGTTGTAAACTAGGAACATTTATATCAGGAATATTGCCTGAAAGGGAGTTGTTAGCAAGGCTCAAAGCTGTGAGGTGAGTCAAATTTGATATTGAAGGTGGAATTCTCCCATTGAAGCCATTATTGGAAAGATTAAGAATAGTGAGATTATTCCAAATTGAGAAATCTGAAGGCAATGGGCCAGAGAAGTTGTTGGATTGAAGAAAAAGGATAGTTAAGTTTCCGAGCTTGGAGAATTCATCATAAGGGAAAGAACCTGATATACCATTAGATCCGAGGCTTAGGATCTGAATTGCTGACAAACGACCAAGAGTGTTGGGTGGAATTGGGCCACGAAAACCGACTCCAGGCAACCTGAGGGCTGTAACTCTAGAGTTATCATTGCTACAGGACACACCTGTCCAGCTATTGCACACAGAAGTATTCTCATGCCAATTGACAGGGTGAGAGTGACGAATATTGTGAAGGAAATCCAATAAAGCTTGTTTATCATCAACTGGGTCAGCAGTGATTGACAAGAAAACTTCTCCAAAGATGAGGAATGCTGAGAAAATGAACTGCAGACTTCTTTTCATGTTCATTTTCTCTCAGTAACAAACAGTTGAACAAATCTGCAGATGAACAGCTAAGTTTCTTCACAAATCTTGGCACATCTACATGAATGTAGTTAAAGATGGATCAGAATTAGAAACAGAAACAGAAACAGATATGCTCTCTCTAGGATATGCTTGTTTTCATTAAGAAGTGGATGAATTTCTTACAAGTTATCTAGAAAAGGATGACTAACAACTCTGACTTTTACTATTAGGACACATTTAGTCAAAATTAGTTGCTAGAGCATGATTAGGAAACCTACCAGACACTGTGTTGGTTCTTTATTGACTTTTGCAGCTCTCTTTTACCAAACATCTTTGGTTACTGAGAAAGTGTGAGTACATAGAACAGGATTTCAAAATTCTGAATTCTATACTTGAGCAATATTACATTTTGAGCCTAGCACAACTTTCCTTGTCATTTTCTTTTGCTTTCCTTCATTTTCTTTTTCTCATAAACCAAGCAGGCAGCAGCAAAGAGCTAAAAACAGAAAGAAAGCAAGATATACAAAAGGGTTCAATTCTAAAGAAACAAAACTTACTGATTGGATGAAGGACACTTCAAAACTTAGCTAAAGATCCACCACATCCGCAAGCAACCAGCTTAACTACTAGTCCCCCTATCTTTCCCGTGAAACAGTCTTAACAATCCCCATGAATATTCAATGTTAAGAAGCAAAAGAAGAAGAAGACAGAACCAGGTACGTACATTCTCGAGAAATCAGACAAAGGGAAGGAAAGAAAAGGTTGGAAAAGTACTAGACGACAATGATAAATGATGATGATTATTAATGATGGAGAAGATTGATGAATATGAGCTGTTTTTGCTTGAGATAGCAGCATCACATGCAAGAAACTAATTAGATAATCATGGAGAAAGCAAAGTCCATGCGCACGAACAGGAGGGTGCATGTGGGGACAAAGAGAGACAACGTATTGGAAGATGCATTATATGCTAATAATAACTCATAACCCTAACCTAACCGTACCCAACCACTACCATTACTATACTGGTATACTCTCTCTCTCTCTCTCCCCTCGTTTCTTGTTGTGGTATTCTTAGTATGGCTTTTTGTAAATAGAGTTTTTTAAAATGTGTGTGATAGATCCACGTGAATACATAGAATGAACTTTTTTTTTTTTATGAGATGGTATTATTGTACAATGCAGTGTGTTTATAAAATAAATGTATTTAATAATATTATAATTTTAAATTAATATTAAATAAATAATAAAAATTAAAGATATGATAAGCTAATATTTCATGATAGAAAAAAATTTATATTAGTAATAAAAAATTTAGAGATTGAACAAAATTATTTGTAGCAATTTATAATATTTTGTGAAGAAAGATACAGTGTTTTCACCATATAATTTAGTTTTATTTTAATAAAAAACAAAAAAAATTACAAAATTAAATTCTCTACTAACTTAATATTAAAAAAACAACCAACAGAGATAATTTTGGAAGGAAAAAAACCTATAAGAAAAAATGATGTAGAAATTAACAATGTTTTGTGAGGAAAATTATAGTATTTTCTCCAATAAAATCGACAAAAATAATTTTATAAAAAAATCATAAAAAAATCATTTAGAGAAATATTGTAGTAATCCACAATATTTTGTGAGAAAAACTACAACGTTTTTCCTATATGATTTAGCTTTATTGTAATTATAATTTTTAACCAACTCAATATTAAACAAAATCAACAAAGATAATTTTGAAAAAAACATTAAAAAGAATCATATGGAAAAATACTACAACAATTCATGGTGTTTTAAAGAAAAAAATTACAAATCTAATTTCTCATTAAGCTCAAAATTAAAAAAATAAAATCGATAGAGATAATTTTATAAAAAAATAACAAAAAAAAAACCATGTTGGAAATATTGTAGTAATGCACAATGTTTTGTGATAAAAGCTACAGTGCATCCCCACATGATTTAACCTTATTTGTAATTATAATTCTCAATTAGCTCAATATTAAAAAAAATAACAAAAAATTTTTTGAAAAAATCATAAGAAAAAAACCATGTTGAGAGACACTCTAGCAATCCACATTATTTTGTGAGGAAAGTTACAATACTTTCCCCACATGATTAATCTTTATTATAAAGTTAAATTCTAACTAGCTTAACATTAAAAAAAAAAATCAACAAAGATAATTTTAGAAAAAAAATCATAAAAAATCATATGGGAAAACACTATGGTAGTTCATAGTGTTTTAAAGAA